TAAATATACATGACAGTCCTTAATTTAGGTAGAAGTTCATACTTCTCAGCAGATGGCCTCAGTGTGGACTTCAAAGCTCTCTGCTCTCTCTCTTTCCCAAGTATTCCCTTGGACTAACTCTGCTAATAGAATACTATGCTTCAAACCCAGAAATCTCGTGTGGGAAACACTGGCAAAAATACTGAAGCTTCATAATGCACTTGTGAAACCACACCTGCAATATCCTCTCTAGCTTCAATCCCAAATTGCATGAAGACGATGTCAGATTGGTGAAGATGCAGCGAAGGGAGACCAGGCTGACATCTACATTAAACAGAAATTAAAATAAAATTCATAGCAGAATAGCACCTTTGATGCTATTCTGCTAGCAGAATAGCATCAAAGGAGTGCTGTGATGCTAGTGAAGGGCTAATTACTCAGAAAACTGAAGTTACTCTAACTTACCTTTACCTTGATAAAACCTGATAACTTCCCAGTCCTTTCGCAGTGTACTCGACGGCTCAGAGCTTCCTCATGTAATGTCAATAATAATAAATTATTACCAATAACACTATTTGCATTACTACTGTTATTACAACGAGTGTGTCCAGTATTAGTGGTAATACTGTGGTGCCGCCGAGCACCACCTCTGGGCTGACAGAGGTTACCAGTTTCCAGCCATGGACAAACTTCCCCTTTAAGGTTGACAGCTAATCTATTTCCATGGTGTGCCATTCCCTTCTAACCCCTCGTCCCCCATCCCAGTGTGAGTCGACGCCATTGCTATATTCAGGGAACTAGTGCGCCATTGCTATATTCAAGGGAACTACTGCGCCATTCCTATATTTAAGGGAATTAATGCGCCACTGCTATTTTCAGGGAACTGATGTACCTGTGCCATATTAAGAGGGCCACTGCGGCTCTGGAAACTAGTGCACCACTGCTATATTCAGGAAACTAGCGAACATAATTATATTCACAGAAATACTACGCCACTGCTGTATTCGAAACCTAATGAGGCATTACTGTATTCTGAAAACTAGCAGCTATGCGCATTGCAATTTCCTGTACAAACAGGTGTTTTGGATTCTCAAAATCTCTCTCAAAATTTGACAGTGACAATAAGACACATAATAAACGACGGTCACTGATACAACTCAGACGTATTTCTCAGTGAACACCTTCAGACCTGATGATTTTTTTTTTTTTTCAGAACATGAGCCCGAAATGACTAGAGAAATTCCGACACACACACACACACACACACACACACCACACAACACACACACACACACACACACACACAACACAAACACAAACACACACTGAAAGAACAATCATGAGGCGGAGATATGTAAATTGTGATAATGAGATCGCACTGTAAATCACGGAACACTAAACCCGTATGGGCCTTTCTGGCCAGTAAGGCTCTTGGTGATCCTCTTTCCTAACAAGAGAAACTATGATGGAAACAGCCTTATAAGCAGTAAACATACTCAGCGACAGTTATTTCTGAAATTATAATCAGCCGAAACGCGTGACCGACCCCTTGCATATTCTTCAGAGCATGAAGCGCAGGATAGATTCTCCGTCTGTTTCGAACGAGAGAGACGCTTTTGGTTAGCACTCACCTAGTTTCACATAGCGACAAGAGCGAGCATAAACATCGAGACGGTTCACTAACACAGAACAAAGAAACCAATTCCACGAACAGGCCAGACGTAAAGGAAACTGCAACAAGGGAAGATGGACGCAGCTGTCAATAAGCCAGTGCGTGCGAGGGCTCCAAAATCGCCTCAGTAAACCATACTCTGATAAGAAGTTCTCTCTAGCATGGTAGAGGAGAGGCTGGAGGGAGAGAGAGCGTGCTAACTGCAGTACAAAACCAAACTCCGTCGAACCGTTTCTACGAAGTCAAGGTTCTTCACCAAGACTGAGACATGGAGACGATCCTCTTCGAAGTCTGAGGTTCTTCAGCAAATCCGAGTTATGGTTGGAAGACAACACCGAGAGGTATGTGGAGAAACACACAGGCAGAACAAGCCTTTATCTGGACGTTTCCTCCCTAAGCAATCTTTGATACAGCTCTCCTTAGTGCGAAACATTTTCCAAATAAAGGCCCCTTTGTTCAGCTTACCCCCCCGAGTCAATTCTCCAACTAAGAATTAGTTAAGACCAGCAGCATCCACGAGCAAGGATCTTCAGCAAGTCTACAGATTGGACACCATCTTCGTCTAGCATAGGCCCTTCAGCAATTCCACGAATAAGAACACGCTCATTTCAAAATGGGCAATGAAATCATGTTATACTATAGTGAAATACGGTATTATGTACAATATGGAAACGAGTTTTTAGCCATAGTTGCTATTTTGACTTTATATATATATATATATATATATATATATATATATATATATATATATATATATATATATTAATATATATATATATACGATTATATTGTTAAGCAAGATTTGTGTTATTTCCTGTTGTAATAACACTGAAAATCAGTTTGAACACTGCAAGATTAAGATATTTGAAAGATTATATCATCTAAATTTGTATTGACCAAGGAAATGTTGCGTAACTGCAACAAGGTTAAGTTGCTAAATTAAAGATAAAATTGTGTTTACTATGCAGTTAACGTGGTAAAATATATTGCCGCATAAGACAAAATATATCGATTTTTGAAACAGTTGCGATTACCTATTGCTAGATATGACCTTATGTATACACATAGTCAGTAATAACTCACATGGAACCAGAAACACTGAAGATTAATTGGTCTGTATATTTCGACCACTTCTTCAGTTGAAGAGGATCCCAGAAGGGGATCGAAATATACAGACCAATTAATCTTTTCATGTTTGTGACTTCATGTGGATCATTACTGAGTACTGGCAGGTGTTTATTACACTTATCCATGTATACACATGTTTAAAATATTTCTGTGTAATAAAATTAGAATAGGAACATAGTTACAAAGGTGACAAAATTCAACATATAAACAAATATAGACAGAAAAAGACTATGGGAAACTCGAGAAAAGAAATATCGTGAGGGAAAAAAAAAAAAAAAAAAAAAAAAAAAAAAAAAAAAAAAAAAAAAAAAAAAAAAAAAGATTGATTATCTGTTCCATGAGTAGCTTTTTTTTTATTTTATTTATTTTACTGTTTTGTGTGTTTATAAGATTTGGATTTCTAGGCCTCGGTCAGATGACCAAAAGTTCTAGTGGTGGGTCATCTTATCGCTAAGATCTGCACCAGGAAACACTTGTCCTGTTTCCTGGGAGAATTATTATATTCACGCGAAACATTTTAAAAAGAAAAGGGAAAATTTTAACGTGAAAAATGAAAAAACAGGAAAAAGGAAAAAAGTGGAAAATATCGAATAAAGAAACAGTAAAAGAGAAAAAGAATATTAAAGATAGTAGACAAATAGAGAACAGGAAGAAAATGTGAAAATGAAAGAAAATGGGGATCATGAAGAAAATAGAGAACAGGAAGAAATCTGAGACCAAGAGAAATTCGAGAAAAGGAAGAGAGAGAAAACAAAGAAAGTGGAGAACAGAAAGAAATGAAAAATCAGTTAAAAACAGAAGTGAAAAGGTAGTAAAAGAAAATCAAAATAAGAAACGAAGATGAACAACGGCTAAAAATTTGGAGAAGGGAAAAGATGAGAATATGAAGATAGATAGATTACAAAAAGAATTTGAAGAGATAAAATTGATGAATAGTGAGAACACGTTAAAAAATAGAGAAAACCAAATAGAAAAAAAGGGATAAAAGATGTAATTGTTGAAACAACAGATGAAACTGAACAAAAGTTGGAGCAAAAGTTTAATTAGAAAATAACGAGAAAAAAAAAACAGGAAGAAATTAAACTATGCCAAACAAAGAGCCAAAATAAAATTTGAAAACAAGAAAAAAATGAAAATTAACATGGTGGATATATGAAAACAGAGAGAGGGTGAGAAAGAGAGAGGGTGAGAAAGAGAAAAAGGGAGAGAGCAAGGGTGTTGGTAAGTTTTAACAGAATTCTGAGACAAAAAATTCCCACTAAGGTAGTCAAAAACCAACAACATAGATGGAAAGCACATAGTAAAACGCTTTTGCCTTTTTGGTTAAAACAATCTCAAAATAAGATGTCCCCTGGGTAGTTGCAGTTAAAAGGCTTTCCAGAAACAACCATGAAAAAAGGTGTTCCCGGACAGCAGTAAAAAACAATCAACAACACTGTACAACTGTAATTTAGGCCATACTGGAGTATGCAGCACCAGTCTGAACCCAAACTGGTCAAGCACGTCAAGAAGTTAGAGAAAGACAAAGTTGGGCAACAAGGCTATGTAACAACAGTCGAAGAATGTCAATGGAGAAAGGTTAATGGAAATCGGACTAAACGACAACTGGAGGACAGAAGGGTAGGGGAGACATGATAACGACATACAAGATACTGCGGGAATAAAATAAGGTGAAGAGATAAATTTGTTTCCAAGAGAGGGACACAGGACAAGGGTCACAACTGGAAGCTGAAGACTCAGGACGAGTCACAGGGACGTTTAGGAAGTATTCTTCAGTCATAGAGTTCAGCAAGGTGTAATAGCCTAGCAAGTGAAGTAGTGAGCAGAACCATAACAAGTTTTAGAAGAGTGTTAAGACAAACTCAGGAAGCAGAGAGAGAGAGGATCCAGTAGCGATCAGTGAAGAGGCGGGGCCAGGAGCTGAGTCTCGACCCCTGCAACCACATTAGGTGAGTACAAATGGGAGACACACACACACACCACACACACACACACAGTGGAAAGTCGAATTAAACATTATCCACTAAAGAAAAAGGATTTACCAACAAGAAAACATTAGCCACTTAAACCATCAGATAAAAACAAATATTTTCTTGCAGAACAAATTATATTTCCGAATATGACAAAAAAATAAAGAGTACGAACTTACCTTTAATGAAGACGTAATCCTGTCAGCGTGACTCCTCATCCAGCGAGAGCGAGAGAGAGAGAGAGAGAGAGAGAGAGAGAGAGAGAGAGAGAGAGAGAGAGAGAGAGAGAGAGAGAGAGAGAGAGAGAGAATCGTCACAGATGGAACCAGTGTTGTTGCTGATGAATCTGCAGGAGTAAACACAAAAATATGTATTTAAAAAGTGCCTAATGAAATGGTAATGTACATCTGTTTTCCACTGACCTCTTGTGCAACTGCCAGTGATGGAACACTAAGTTGCTTGTCTCAATGCACTTGGTTTCATGTAAATAAAATTATTAATTTTAACATTTTAATAAAAATTATCTAATAATAATAATAAATATTACTTTTGTTAGTTTTATTTTTTATTTAAAAAGGTGAAAAACTATAAAATACCAATTATACAACTAAGTCTATCACAACTAGGTAGGGGAATCAGAAGTATAATTAGTATAATTAGGATTACCACTAATAATAGTGGCAATAGCATTAAAAGTAACATTAGTAACCAAAATGTAACGCTAACGTCCAAGAATTAAAGCAAAAACGAAAAAAAGAATAGAGCAAAGATGTAAAGAAAAGTTGAACTTCGTAGAGAACATAACACTAATTGGAAGTCATCGCAAATACCTTCGCAACGAACATGGAATGGAACGAAGTTAATCACATTCAGTAATTCTGGGCACTATATATTTCCCGTGTATGCACTGTTGGGGAGGACAAACTGGATGGCATTAACTCTTCTTCATAATCGCTCTCTCTTGAACGTTACATAATGTGTAGTATTGCTGATACGCATTCCTCGTTTTCAGCCTGAAGATCCCACATATGATTTTAACGCATTAAGATATGCTAAGCACGTAGTTTTAACGTTCACTATTATCAAATATTTTAAGCTATGTTGCAGATTTATCCTGTTGGTGAACGCCAGAGAGTCGAGTTTCTTAACTGTATCCACTAGGTTGTTTGAAGATTCGAGAGTCATCCGACTTTAGGGTAAAAAGAATTTGATCATATTCAATGCAGTGAAGTCCTTTTCAAGTCTCAGTTCGTTGATTAGTAAGAGTTTGAGAGACGGGTCTGCAACGATCATGATTAAAATGAAAAGCTGTGGTGATTGGAGAATTCGTGTTTGTATCTCATTGAGCATCGACCCTCGTACCTACTGTGAGCCGATTCCTTGATTGCGGTTCCCTCTTGAGACACACCACTTTAGGGTGACATGTTATTTTTTGTAGCAAAGCAATTATATTGAACGTACAGGTATGTGCTCGAAGTTCAATTGCCAGCCGCTGGATATTTTTTTGTGTGTTTAAGAATCGTGAAAAATAGTGAGGAAACTTGGACAGTTGGCTTTATGGCAGTGTTGATTCAAGATACAGTGATTCGAAGTGTAATCACGATGTGAATATTATCACCGCTCTTGTTTATCCTTCATCGTGTTGCAAGTGAAGGGAGACGATATTGTATTCTGCTTCTGTGTGAAGTTTATGTGCTCTTGGTTAATTGAATTATCTGCACATGTGATCATGCATGCTCCCGGGCATGCACATGTTCACTTGACTGCACTTGTACATTTATCAGCACGGGTACTTAAAGCACCTGTAACTTAACATTTGCGCTATGCACATTTGTACGCTTCTCTACCTGTACTCTTGTATTGCAAGCATGTGTATGAAAGCAACAGACTGTGAAATTACTGAAAAATCTGTCCCTACCTCCACCTGTTTTATAGTCCTATAATTGAAGATAGACTAGAACCGATTAGTCTATCAACTAATTAATCTATTAACTGATTAACTAATTAAGCCATAAACTGAATTAGTGATTGATAGCGTGACTAGTTATTTGACTGAATAATTAATTTACTGACTGACGGACTGATACACTGACCAAATGATAATTACGGAAATAAGCCCTGACAAGTAAAATGCAATGCGCTCAATTTACTGATGGGTCGATGCAATTGTACTGCGTTTGCAAAAACCTACAAAATATTGACAATTACAGCCAATTAAAAGGCATTTTTACGTATGTATGCGTATAGTTACACATATGTGTCACGGATATATACATCTATTCGAAAAATCATTTATTTGCCTCTTTATATAACATATTTTGCTCTTAACACTCTTACTATGTTCGTATTAATGCTTTTAATGCATCAGTAAAAATAAATTTAACTTGCTAGAAATAAAAAAAACTTAAATATATAGTTTTTTCCCCAGCATGTCTAGAAAAAATTTTGCATTGGGAAAACTATTTTCTATGTATCTGCAAATATCATCTGCACATTGATAAATATATGAATGTTGTACGTATATAAAGATGTTTAATTCTTGATAATATTTAAGAAGTCATTTGTACGTCCTAACTAATAATATTTGCAGAATAATTAAGTTCACTTTCAGCTTTTTTTAAATTCTTAACATTAATATCAAAAAGAAATGTGATTACAATATTATTTTAATTATTAAAATTGCCAGTGAATTGTAAACGTTATTATTATTATTATTATTATTATTATTATTATTATTATTATTAGCCAAAGTAGTAGAAATATTACCACATCGATTAAACATTAAATATTAAAGCTCATTGTGAAACCTTAGAATATTTCGAGAAAATGATGCCAGTTTTCACTTTTAAACCCTAATTGTGTGTGTGTGTGTACTCACCTAGTTGTACTCACCTAGTTGAGGTTGCGGGGGTCGAGTCCGAGACCTGTGCCCGCCTCTTCACTGATCGCTACTAGGTCACTCTCCCTACTGAGTTTAACTACCTCTGTTTGTGTGGTGTGTGTGTGTGTGTGTGTTACATTTTGTCCTAGTACATGTCGTTGCACTAGGCCTGTTGATATCGTGGCCGTGTGTGTTGTGGTGTGTCGTTGTGTGTGTGTCGTTTGGTGTGTGTCGTTGTTGTGTGTCGTTGTGTGTTGTGTGTGTCGTTGTGTGTGTGTCGTTGTGTGTGTGTGTGTCGTGCTGTGCGTTGTGTGGTGTGTGTCGTCCATCGCTTCGTGTGTGTGTGGTGTCGTTGTGTGTGTGTGTTCGTGTGTGTGTGTGTCGTTGTGTGTGTGTGTCGTGTGTGTGTGTCGTTGTGTGTGTGTGTCGTTGTGTGTGTGTGTTGTGTGTGTGTGTCGTTGTGTGTGTGTGTCGTGTGTGTGTGTCGTGTGTGTGTGTGTCGTGTGTGTGTGTGTCGTGTGTGTGTGTGTCGTGTGTGTGTGTGTGTGTGGTGTGGTGTCGGTGTGTGTCGTGTGTGTGTGTGTGTCGTGTGTGTGCGTGTGTGTCGTGTGTGTGTGTTCGTGTGTGTGTGTGTCGTGTGTGTGTGTTTCGTGTGTGTGTGTCGTGTGTGTGTGTGTTCGTGTGTGTGCCGTGTGTGTGTGTGTCGTGTGTGTGTGGTGTGTGTGTGTGTGTGTGTCGTGTGTGTGTGTGTCGTGTGTGTGTGTGTGTGTGTCGTTTTGTGTGTGTGGTGTGTGTCGTGTGTGTGTGTGTGTGTGTGTGTGTGTGTGTGGTTGTCGTGCGTGTGCGTGTCGTGTGTGTGTGTGTCGTGTGTGTGTGTGTCGTGTGTGTGTGTGTCGTGTGTGTGTGTCGGTGTGTGTGTGTGTGTGTGTGTGTGTGTGTGTTGTGTCTGTGTGTGTGTGTGTGTGTGTGTGTGTCGTGTGTGTGTGTGTGTGTGTCGTTGTGTGTGTGTCGTGTGTCGTGTGTGTGTGTGTGTGTGTGTGTGTGTGTCGTGTGTGTGGTGTGTGTGTGTGTGTGTCGTGTGTGTGGTGTGTGTGTGTGTGTGTCGTGTGTGTGTGTGTGTCGTGTTGTGTGTGTGTGTGTGTGTCGTGTGTGTGTGTGTGTGTCGTGTGTGTATATATGACCCTCGTGTAGACGATAGGCTTTAAACCCCATTAATTAACTTGCAACCAACTAATTGATTTTTTAGTGTAAATTATTATTATTATTATTATTATTATTATTATTGCATTTTTTTCAAACAGTCGATAGATTTTTACCGTTCTTATATCGTCTCTACAATAATGTCAAAAACATTTTAGAGCCAGCATAGATATTAGGGGTAGTCCTTAGAACTATGGAGAGACTGCAAGGGACCAGGGACTGCAAATAATTTTGGCCCATCTGTTAAATTCATCTACTCATCTGTTAAATTCAAGCCATTAAAATAGCTTAATGGAGATGGTTTACAATGAAATTGACCTATTTTGGGATGTTTCAAAAACATGTTATTCATATATGAGAGGATGGTAAGGTGTGAGAAGCATAAGCCAATAGGACTACTGTGGTGTTTCTTTTTATACTTTTGGAACAATCGTGCTAACTTGCTTCAACCTGCCATTTTGGATTATTGCTATGTAGGGGGAAAGAATTCATATAAATTTTGAACGAGGAATGTGGAATGAGCACTCGCTGTAGTAATTATACGGTGAATGATCTATATTCCACTAAAACAAAAGAATCTGAGAATTTAAGAGGTCTAGGACTTTAATTCTCTGCCCTTTGCGTATTGGTATATATATATATTTTTTTTATCCTTGCTCTGATTGATGTACAGTTTTCTGCGAACTCAGTTCGATGTTCGTGTGCAGCTAGTGGTAGGGGCGTCAGCCATTCCTCTTCCGAAGTTACTATTGATGTGGATTTCTCAGAACTAATGACACTCTTCACTATGGACTGTGAAAGGTGTGGAAGACATCAAAGTGTAGAGGCGGGGTGGGGCAATGAACGGAGGACCCGCAAATATACCCATGGAGGTAGGTAGCAAATGTGGTGAAAGGTGTGTGTTGGATATTGACAAGTTCACGCGCGCGCGCACACGCACACACACACATACATACATACACACACACACACACACACACACACACACACACACACACACACACACACACACACACCTGAATACAGGTGAACACTAATGATTTAATAGCAACTCAGCAATACTTTTGGGGAAGATTGCAGTAAAAGCTTTTGCGTCTGACATCCCATCAGCGCTCGGAAACCAATAGACTGATCTTAGTTAAGCTCACATATGTTATTCTCCTGTAAAAGGACACAGTAAACCATGGCTTTGTACAAAATATTCAATATTTGAAATTTATCTTATTTAATAACTGTTGTAAATTTTTGTAAAAAATTAATGTATC